TATAAACATCCTTTCTTTCATCTTTCAGTGTTTAAAGTACAGAACAGAGCAACAACAGGACATAAAAAAGCTAGAGAAACTGAACAGTGTTCTAATGCGGCATGCTGTTGCCAAATGAAACACAAAGCTCTTCGACTTTAATTTATGAACAATTCAACACGGATACCCCATGACATTCAACCAGGAACATTTTCTAACCAGAGGTGGAACCTGAGAATGAGGAGGATGGAGTGCAATCTGAACCTATGATATTGTTAATTACTGCTTATTAATACCCTGAATGCAGTTTATATATTATATATTTGCCCTAACTACGCTGTGATTGGTTAATGTCAAGCTTAACGTGAAATACATCTTATTCTTGCTAATCTTTATGTGCCCTCAACTTAATTCAGTAACTTTTGGCGATCTTTTTGTTACAAAATCTTTCCTTCATGAGATTCATGGCAAAGATGGATGTTACTGTAGATGTTCAGTTAGTAAACACAAAAGGCTTTTAAAGACAAAATTTTGTGGTCATACTTATGATGCAACTAGGAAAGGGATACCTTTGCATTTTTGCACACAACGTCATTTATCACTTCAGCCGTCAAACCCTCCAATTTGTGATACGTTGTAATAATATTGTCTTCAACACTTGAGCACTGCACCAGTATTGCTGAGGTCATGGGTTTGAATCCTGTTCGGGCCTGAATTTTTTTCAGGCTTTAATTTCACAACTGCTTAAGTTGTGTGTATAGCTGCAGTGATCAATTGTGTCTTCGATATTGTTTTGTGTAGGTGACCATCATTGTGTAGTTTCAGAAAATATCCATAACTTCCCTACAGAAGGGATTTTTTCTAAGACCTCGCGACCACTCTGGAAATCCCAATTAAGCTTCAGGCATTTCTTTAAATTTTTTGGTCTTGTAGAACCCCCAATCCCCTGGGAAATTCCAATTCCTTCTGTGAGGGGAGTATAGATATTTTCTGGAAAACACATTTTCGCAATGTCTGAACAACTGGCTAAAACATTTTTTTTTATCCCATGCAAGTTCAGTGCACAGGATTATTAAGGAAGAGACTTAAATTGTAAAGAGGCACAAGATGAGATTATTATGGTACTCTTGTAGTGCCCATAACTGTGTTCTTTTTTAGTATGCACAAATAGTTTGATCACCTTACCTTTCAAACAAGCACATTTGCAAATAGAAACGGGGCAGACAGTTCAGCTTTAAACACTTCACCCCCCCCCCCCCCTGCCCCTGCCCTTGCTGTACACCCACCAGCTTATGAGGAGAAATTTTCGGTAATTTCTTCCATAATAAAACATACACATGATCTCACTGTTAAAACGGTTGAAAAAGACTGGTGACCCTGAGTTAAATTGAATTTGCATTGCAAATTATTTTTTGC